TCTTTTATACGTGGTAGGGCCACGCTGCAAGAGAAGCAAATAAGTCCGCTTTCTCCTTAGCCCCATGCGCCAGTGAGTCATCTGGTTTTACAAGCTGAGGCAGTGTAAACCGGCAGAGGTTTGTCTCGGTCGCTTTGGCGAGAGATAAAATCATCTATTCTATCAACAACATCATCTATTCAATCAACTATTCAACTACCAGATGATTGGACGGAGAGCTTTGCACCGATGCGTTTAATTCGGTCGAAACTGGCTTGCCGTAGTGCTTTTATGTAAGACTTGGGGGCTTGGTTAAAAGCACTCTTCTTAGAGCCAACATCCGGAGCTTTGCGGTCTCGAGCATCAACCCAGGATCGGCGTTAAACTATGGCTGAGCTTTACCACCAATGGGCATGTCAGCAAAAGGGATGAAATACTCCTTCACTTGACGTATCACGTCAGTAATGGTATCCCCGCAACTCGACAGATTTTCACACCAGAAGCAAACCTGCCGCCAAGGATAAGATGCGAAGAAATACCGCATCTCATCCCACGCATTTATCGCCACATTCGCCGCATACATTTGAAATCGTTGGTGAGGTATATAACAACACAGATTTCACCAGACAGTGGTCAGACGTTCCCAGCTCAGTTCCAGTTCCCAAAGGTGAGGTAACCTAAATATCATACCTGTCCGGATCGGTCGTCAGCAGAGGGCGGCAGTTGGTTGTGTGCCCATCTACATCGGGTACCCTAGTCGCTTGTGGTACCAGTTGGGAGAACCTCAGCGACAAGGCCAAATTCCATGCCTCTCCCAGCGTGGTCGATCTTCTGGTATGGGAACTACCAGTTCTGATGACATGCATTAGAGTCCCCCAGAAATACTAACAGTGCAGTAGGGTACCGATTTAGAGCCACATCAGAAGCTTCACTGAGGTGTTGAACTAGCCTAGTTGTCCCCTGCTCTCCGCTATGCGATCGGTATACACAAGAATAAATTATTTTATCCATTCCTGTGTCTATCAATACACAGATCGTGGAAAAGTAGAGGTCTTCAAGATGACGGAGAGGCTTACAGCAGGTGTAGAGTGCGAAAATGTTGAATACACTTCTGTTAAGATAAGGACTAAGATGTTGCCACCACACTAAGGCTTCTATCTCATAAAATAATTTTAAGGGTGGGCGTGTCTATATTCCTTTAAAAAATAAATTCCATCCTAGTTGTGTTACAGCACACCAAGTGTTGACGAGATGCAGTTTTTATTTCCCGGATTCAGTCCTCAGCTTATCACTCGGCCAGTTGTAAGTAGTTAAATTCCCACGTGTCATGCTAACAATCTGTGCACGCGCCAGATATTATGAATAATTGATAGAATCAGGCGTTACTTTGCGGAAATCCATTATAATAAAGATATTAATTAATTCGCAACCATCCGTTTAATAAATACAATGATGTGTCTTACCTGGATTGAAGAGTACCTCCAGCCCTCCCTCAATTGCGTGCACTAATCCCGTCACCATTAACACACTTTGTTAACATGTATTTATTTCAACATTAATGCTGCAATATTTTCGGCATAACGGAGGATCTTGCTAAGCCATTTGAGGTAGTATTTTTACTATTTCCCCTTAAGTATTTTTAATTACTTCTGACAGGAAATCTCGCTCTTCCTTAATTGACATACAATACCTTAGTTACAAGTACAGGTACGTAAGTAGATACTTGGATAGTGAAGTAAATTTCAACTAAGTTTTCTAATAAAGTACGTAGTTATTAAATAATATAATATACAAATAATATCATATTTGAAACAAAATTACCGATCATAACCACCCCTACAAATGTTTTGCCAATGTTGACCAATAGACGCGCAAACGTTTGTGAAACAGAACAGGCCCGTGAAGTAGATTCGTATTGAAATAATTCGTTACCAAAATTTTAAATAATGGTAATTGCTACTTTTGTCTTTGTGTAATTCCAATAGATACTTAACTTTTTTTTTATTTTAGCTTTCCTATCTTTCTTCCCCGGTCGATCCTACCCATTCGTGCTACAACTATACTACTAATATAATTGCAGCATGGCTCTACCACGTTTTAAAAGTATGCAATGGGCGCTCTTATTGCTGACAGCAATTTCTTCCAGATAACAAATTAATGGACAGGATTACATGAAGATGACAGGAGTAGGGCAAATTGGTGTGATAAAAAAGAATACACATATTTATATATATATACTATACATAAATACATACATACTACAAACATATATACATACAAAAACTAAAATAGATATATATTGGAATTAGTTAATTAAATGCAATCAATATACTACATACTATATCATATTTAATGGCTAGTGTGGAAAGTATGTATACTCGTACCAACAATCATAAATGCCCAAAACATAAAAATAATTTCAATTAAACTAATGATCATATTATACAACGCGACTCAATACTTCCTGGACCAAATTCGAAGAAGAAAACAGAAACATAACAAAATGGCGTAGTTGTAGTAGTAGTTGACGTAGGAAAAAGAACTTTTTTTGTAATATCTTAAGGTTGATTTCACACTAAATGTTATTTAATTTATGTCTTTTCATTTCCAAGTGATAGGAGTATTATATAGCTTTGTTCTTTTTTATGACTAATGATCATAAGATTTGTGACTTTATTACTAGATGTGATGGTTGTAATTAGGTTGAAATGAAAACTATTTTAATTTATTGTCTCATTTCTTTAGTAAACAGATGTAGCTGTTTAAGTTTATATTCACGCGGACAGTATTTAGCTATGATTTTGTACGTGACCCGTTATCTATTTGGTATTGTTGATCGAAGCACTCCACAGAAGATCCACTGGGCTATGTCAGTTAAATGTCGCCACATCTTACCGTATTATAAACATACGCAATGCATAATGATGTCTAATGTTTCACACTACATTGCTTGGCGAGTTTGTCAACGTAGAACAAAAGCAGCAATGGTAATTGTACAATACGAAAAGTAATAAATAAAATTAGTAAAGTATTTATCTAGATGTAAATTAGTTAAGACAATGATAATTAGCAAATAATCAACGTGGAATGTTATGCCTTTATTAGTTGAATTGCACGTCCTTGATGATTTTTTACAACTGATTATGCTGCAGTTCACTATTATAAATTTATAATAACATAAATTCACGTACGACGCCCAACTAAATCACAAAATGGTGAACGATGTTCGTCAAAACATCATAGCGGCGACAAGGTCACGCGTCTATGCGAATTCTATTGTCTTATTGTTACGATTTCTGTGGTATTGACCATTAAAAAAACATAATTTTGAATAATCTTTTATTTAACTAAACAAAATTAATAGTATCTTATACTCAGTCTGATATACATCAAAATCTATACTTCAAAAATATTTTTCAATAAAATATCTATCTATCTCATGATCTGATAGAACTTCATAGAATCCATGCTTATCACTAGAAACCGGACGACTCATTTTTGCTCTACAATCAATTAGCCACTACTAACAGATGTTATAAAATTTAGTATATTAGCTTAAGCATGTAAATGAAACATATTTCTAAACAATATAAGAATAATAACAAACAAACCCCAAGTAATTTCAGCAGGCGCATCTTGGGGATAAAGAAGCTCAACTCTAGATCTTAAGTGATTACAAAAATGTTACTCTAATATTTACAAGCACTATATCACAGCTTATATTTTATATCTGTGCTACAGGACTGCGGACTTCACCATACAATACACCACAAAGAACCATGAAATTGTCGTAAACATGGAATTTAAAATAAATACAAGCAGGCTAAATTAGGTGATTTTTCTGATCAGAAATGGATGATCCTCGGAAGGTTCCTGCTGAACATAATTGTCACAAAAATGATCAAACTACACAAGTAACAACACTTATAGTGTTAGTTGTAAGAATATTTTGTGTATTTATTCACAAGAGTTACATACATGAAGACCCACTCTTAATGTTATATCTGCTATTTGCGAGATATGTGACGTAAAAGGGTCAAACACTTGTGCCTTAAAATAATAGTCAATGAGATGCCTCATGTACATCATTATAAAAATATAATATGAAAAATAAGGTAGATTTTGGTCGTATACAGGTGGCGTCAAATTACATACAATAAACGGCAGTTCTACTGTACGGTTTTACGTTATTTATGATGTTGCAATTCCTTTAAATTAAAATCGTAATTTTGAACCCTTTTAATTTTTTGCATACAAACAAAATTATGTAATTTGAAATTTTGATATTTGTTTATTGTATGACAAACAACGACAACTGTATAATCTGCAAAGGAGCACAGGGTAACTTGTTTTTCTGTGTCAGCAAATATTTTTACCTACATAAGACTAGAAAACTATGACTAAAGCGTTTTCATCAGTTTCGGAGTCGTAAGTAGACGAATTATTTGGGATACATTCTTCAAAAATTATCCCTAATTATAATTATTCTAAAATGAAATAAAACTGGGTCGAAGCAAAACTATTAATACGATTCCATATTAAAAACATTAATTTAGATTTATATTTTTGGTGTTTATACAACAAATATGTAAATTTTTAAAAGGTATATATTGTAACATAGACATAGTTAAAAAGTGACAATAGTTGGAAGAATTAGTAACTAGTATTTAATATACGGAACCATTACAGTACCTGAATCTTCAAATATTGTTCTATTATTGAAGCACAAGCACCACACTACTTGGGCGTTTTTGATAAAATGTGCCATTCTATAAATATTTATAATAATTATAATAGCATAATAAAACATTAAAAAAGTTTCGATTATCTTCATTCGAATAATACTTTCAAGCTCTACTTTGAAGTTTCGAAAAATTTATCGTGTAGGATATTGTATGTAGTTCACGACAATAATGAAAGAATGGCATTATCATCTCAAATTCTAGACTTTCTACATTGTATGCCATTTGTAAACAGTAAGTTTACCATGCCTTGGGATCAGCGGTCCACAACCTTAGTTACTAAGTGTTCTCATAGAAGGAACTATTAAAGTGTGTTGTCAGCAGATACACAACGGCCTCGTACGTGGACATCATGATTGCTGTGTTCGGTATTTGACGAACCAGTTGTGTACCAAGGCCCCTGCAAAAAAGAAAGGTTTAATTTTTATTTCAATATATGTTTGATAGGAAAATATTCGTAATATTGTTCATTCGTTCATTATTCATTACAGCCTATCAAGTTTCTCGCCATATATTGCCTTATAAGGGTTTTTTTATCATAGTTGCTACGCGGATTTGCCGTGGGGTTCAGTTCTTGCAGTGTCGCCGGCGATGATCACGCTCGAGTTGCTCGCGTGCTAGTATCCAGTAGTCTGACTCAAATTCTTAGTGGCGGCGCTGTCGTCGCGCCACAGTAGCGTCAATTAACCGCGAATCTTAAATTACTCTAAATTTATGAGGATATCTGTAAAGCCATGCATTCTTCCAAAACCCACAATACGGTGTTAATGGGAGACTTCAACGCATACCTAGGTATAAGACAGTACGGTGGGATAGGGCAACGAAACCCAAGGCGACAACAGCTGGCCGACTTCATGGAGAAAAGTAAAGTAAAAGTAAAGTTACAGCCTATATACGTCCCACTGCTAGGCACAGGCCTCCCCTCAGAAATGAGGGGGTTTTAGGGCAAGGAAGTGTCCGCCGCGCTGCCCTAATGCGTGTTGGCGAACACATGTCTTCGAAATAATTTTTTTTCTTATTCCTCAGACATGCAGGTTTCCTCACGATGTTTTCCTTCACCGCCGAGCACGTGGTAAATCAGCACTTAAAATTGCAATTAACAATTTCATTGGTGCCGGCGGCGATCAAACCCGGGTTACTCGCGTTCTGTTATATTTACAGCGAGCGTTAACCATCTGAGCTACCACGGCATGGAGAAAGAGGGACTCTTTATGATGAACTCTTTCATACAGAAGCAGTTCCACAGGAAATGGACCTGGTCAAGCCCCGACGGTTCGACATAAAATGAGATTGACTTCAATATGACGACTAGACGGCAAGTGTTCAGTGATGTCTCGGTAATCGCGAGGGTGAAAACTGGCAGCAATCACCGATTGGTTGGGGGCACACTGAACCTAAACGTTAAATTGGAGAGGTCTCGTCGAATGGAGTCAACCGTCCGCTCTCGTGCTCTAATCCAAAGTGCCGAAAACTATCAGCTCGAGTTGCAAAACCGTTTTCAGTGCTTAGAAGACTGAAATGCAGTGGACGATATGAATGACAAGCTCGTGGAAACTATACATGCGATCGGAGCTAAGTTCTGTAAGACCCGTCGCAGAAGAACACAAAAACTCTTTGATCACATTCTTAATCTCATATGGCTATTAGACGGTAAATGAAGCTGGAGTCTTCAGCGGATTCGACAGAATACAGGCAACTAAACATACAGATCTCCAAATACATGCGGCGAGACCTACGCAACTTCAATACAAATCGTATTGAAGAAGCGATCGAGAGAAACCAAGACTCCAAAGTCTTTGCCAGATCTGTCTGCCAGAGAGAGCCAACTGTCGAAACTGAAGACCGAGTGTGGCAGCATTGTTTCTTGGACATCTTAGAGTTTAAGTGAGATTGAGAGGTTCTATGGACAGCGGTACACATCATCGTTGGAGCTACACGCAAGTGTCCAAGAGCAAGTCTTACCCGACACTATTCCGATGATATCTCGCACATCAGTCTGAGCGAGGTTAGAATGGCTGGCTCTCCAGCACCTTAAAAACGGCAAGGCCCCAGGCGGGGATGGAATTACAGCAGAGCTTCTGAAAGCGGGTTGAAAACCGGTACTTGGAGTCCTTCAGAAGCTCATTAATTCCCTCCTCAATGGTGGCACTACTCCAGAGGCGTGGAGCAGAAGTGCGGTGATCTTGTTTTTCAAGAGAGGCGACAACGCCCTCTTAAAGAACTACAAACTGATTTCCCTTCTGAGCCGCGTCTACGTGCTATTTTTGAGTCATTTAAAAATCGTCTCGCACGCAGACTCAACGACTTCCAAACTCCCGAACAAGCCGGTTTTCGAAAAGGCTTTAGTACCATAGAACACATACAAACCCTTCGTATATTTTACAGAAGCCCGAAGAGTACAATACAATACAATCTGCCACTTTGCCTTGCGTATGTGGACTATGGAGAAAGCCTTTGATTCCGTCGAAATTTGGGTGGTGCTACGGTCCCCACAGCAGTGCCAAGTTGACTGTCGGTATATTGAAGTGCTGAAGTGTTTGTACAGTAGGGCTACGATGGCTATTCCAGTACAGAACCAGAGTACGAAACCTATCCAACTGCAGAAAAGTGTAAGACAGGGTGACGTTATATCCCCGAAACTCTTCACCCCTGCATTGGAAGACGTTTACAAGCTACTGGACTGGAAAGGATACGGTATAAACAACAATGGCGAGTACATTACTCACCTTCGATTTGCCAACGATATAGTCTTTATGGCAGAATCGCTGGAGGATCTAAGCACTACGCTCAATGACCTCAATAGGACCTCCCAACGGATAGGTCTTAAGATGAACATGGACAAAAGAAAGGTCATTTTGTAATGTCCATGTCACACCTATGCCGGTAGTTGTTGAGAGCACTAAGGTCAAAGTTGTTTACCTGGGACAAATAGTCCGACTAGGTAAGTCCAACTTCGACCAGAGCTCAATCAACGGATTCAACTCGGCTGGGCAGCGTTCGGGAAATTACGACATATCTTCTCGTCAGGTATACCTCAAAACCTGAAAAAGAGATTGTACAACCAGTGCGTGTTGCCAGCGATAACTTATAGATCTGAAAGGTGGACCTTCACTGCTGGCCGTATGAGGACGCTCAGCGAGTTATGGAGACGGCGGATGGATGTTGGGGGTCTCTCACTGGTGTGAACTCAGAAATAAGGATATCGGAAGATGAACCTGAGCAACCGACATAGCCCAACAGATTAGTAAACTGAAGTGGCAATAGGCCAACCATATAGCTCGAAGAACCGACAACCTATTGGGAAAAAAGGTTCTCGAGTGACAGCCTCGTACCGGTAGGCAATGTTTAGGAGATACCCCACTAGGTCGAATGTTGACCTGATATGACATGCAGGAAGTCGACGGATGCAGGTAGCTCAGCACGTGCTTTGATGGGGAAGGCAGTGTTCAGCAGTGGACTTGTAAAGGGCTGTAATGATGATATCCATAACGATTTTTTTAAATGCTCTAATCTCATATGCTGTATAAAGACTAAATTTTGTTTAGTCTATATAAAGCATATGAGAAACTAGCTACTTTCTTAGTAACATTTTAGTGTAGATTCTATATTTCATATCACTATCAATGTGGATTCCGAGGAATACATTACTAGATGTTTTGGTAATTTTCTTATCGGCATATTCTATTTTTAAATTCATATCTGAGTGAACTAATTGCTTAAAATTCATAATCTTAGTTTTTTCTATGTTTAATTATAAATTGTTATTTTATCGCCAGTTTATATTAATTTTACTTATGTTTATGTCAATTTCATGATAATACATAACAGTTATGTCACCATTTTTTGTGCGTTCATGGACTTGGAAAAGGCCTATGACAGAGTGAATAGGGATGTGCTATGGCAAACACTGAACTCATTTGGGTTGAGCGCTGGCTTGATACGGGCATTGGAGTCCCTTTATAGGGACTCTAGTGCTTGTGTTAGGATCAACGGGGTCTACTCGGACTGGTTTGACATCCATAAAGGTGTCAGACAGGGCTGTGTAGCTTCCCCGTGGCTGTTCAACCTATTTATGGACAGTTGTTTGCAAAATTTGAAAGTTGAAGAATGCGGATTAAGAATGGGTGAGTTAACCGTCAAATGCCTTTTGTACGCCGATGATCAAGTTATACTTGCGTCGTCGGCGGCCGAGTTGCAAATGATGGTTACATTAATGAACAGATCATTAAAAGAAAGGGGTATGAAAGTGAACGCAAGTAAGACGAAGGTTATGGTTTTTGAAAGAGAAGAAAGTAAAACGATTTGTGAAATAAGAATAGAAGGGGAGTTGATCGAGCAAGTAGACGAGTTTGTATATTTGGGCTGCGTATTTAGCAGGGATGGGAGATATGATAAGGAATAGAACGACGAGTGAATGCGGGAAATAGAGTAAATGGGGCCCTGCACTCTATTGTGAAGAGTCAAAATGTGTCGAAAAAGGCACGTATGGCAATTCACAATGCTGTGTTGGTCCCTACTTTAACATATGGTAGTGAAAGTTGGGTGTGGCAGAAGAAGCACGAGAGTAGAATGAACGCAGTAGAAATGCGGTCGTTAAGGAGTATGTTAGGGCTGAATCTTAATGACAGGGTAAGAAATTGTGTAATAAGAGAAGAGTGTGGTTTGCAAGATGATGTTGTGACCAGGATTAAGAAAGGAATGCTTCGGTGGTTTGGTCATGTGGAAAGAATGAATGAGGAAAGAGTGACAAAGAAAATTTATGTTGCAGAAGTGAATGGCAGAGTCGGAAAGGGACGTCCTAGGCGAAAATTTATCGACCAAATTGGCGATTTATTGAAAACGGGCCAAATTAGGAGTACCCTTAACCGACGAGCATGTATGCGGAGGTGTATGGATGTGAAGGAGGCGAGAGAGGTGTGTCAGGATCGTGCCAAATGGAAGTCTGTAGTCTCTGCCTACCCCTCTGGGTGACAGGCGTGAGTGTTTATGTATTTATGTATTATGTATTATGTCACCATCAAATAAAATAATATAATTTTTACAGCATTAGTAAAATCATTAATATAGATCAAAATTAATAAAGGACCAAGAATACTGCCTTGTATTACACCATATCGACGCAGCCTTCTTCAGATGAGTAAATCTCTTCCGTTTTATAATTAAATGAAATTTAACTTATACGTGCTATTTGGATTCTATTAGATGAGTCTATTAGAACTCAGTTTTAGTATGTACCCTCCTATCCTATACCATGCATTTTTCGCAATAAAATATTGTGGTCGACAAAGTCAAAAGCCTTGGTCATATCAAGGAATAACGCATAAACTGATTTTTTGTTGTTTTAAATGTATATATATTATATATAACATATTTTGAAAAAAAAATATAGGCATAAGAGCTTCAGGTTTATAATTAGTTATATAGTGTTTGTCATCTTTTTTATGAAACAGATTAATAATTGTAACTTTTAACTTATTTGGAAAGATACCTTTTTGTATAAATATACTTATAGTATGACTTAATATTGGAGCAATTACGCGTGAGACGAGTTTCACGATCTTTGCGTTTATGTCATTATATTCTGTTTTTTTTTTAATTTCTTAGATTACGAATAATGTTAATTACATCTTTAGGTATAGTTGGTTTCATAAAGAATGACTTATAACTATTATATTTGCAGGTATTCTTCCAACTGTTGTTGTACATTATCAGTGTAATAGTCATTAAATGTCTGAACAATTAATTTTGGATCTGTTGTACCATTTCCAATAATCATTATTTTAACATTATTTTCCTTTGGAAACCTTACTTTATTTTAATAATGAGTTTCCATGTAGCTTTTGATTATTTTTGGAATCAAAAATATAGTAAAAATGTTGTGTGTTTTGTGTAAGTTTTAATATTTTTCTACACTTTGGCATATGATTTACATGTTATTTTTTCATTTTCTTTTTTGAATGCCGATAATTCCATAATAAAAATCTTTTACGTTTGTCAAATAATTTAATGACATGAGAAATACATATAAGTTTAGTATTAATTTATTGTTTAACCCTTATTATTCGAAAGCTAAGACCATATAATAATTTAAACATACTGGAAAACTGTCGAAAGCTTCATTCGCATGTGGCGTATGTGTGGCAACAAGTGTCATGAAAACTTAGGCTTGCTAAACACTTGTTAAATTTTGTCGTGTTTTCTTTACTATTGTTACACTTAAATAAAATGAAATATTAGAATATTTTTATAGAGCAATATTCGTCCTATGTATTTTAAACGTATTAACGCACTCGGTTATACTACGTCATCATCATAGCAAACAGCATGCAGTATTGCAATAATATACCAACTTATAACAAATTAAATTAAAAGAAATATTTTTGAAACAAATGTATTTTGATTGTTTTAATTACGTCCTTCACAATGCACTTGAAATTAGCATGAAACGCAAGGCAAACCGACAGTTTATCAGTCTTATTCTTAACGATTTCCCATATTAACTCGAATACTACACTTATTTTATTTTTTTAACTTCAACAGATTTGATAAACCACAAATCCTCGCATAAGAACATCGATTCCTACCAAGGATGAATCGAGAATCTATGTAAATTGCAATAGGAAAGATGGCTGGGTGCTATAATCTGCTTGGGATCCTATAATAGGGTATTTATTACACACAATTTCAAATACTGTTTTAAATGAATCCTAAAGTGATAATGAACAACTATAATTTTTATATAGTTATTTAAAACCGAATAGTGCCATAAAAATTACTTTTAATTTATCGTTCTAAATTTTCGCGCGAAAACGCTAGCTGCCATGCTGTAAAGCTCATTACGTCAGTGTCGACGAGCATAAGAACGCCAGGGAGACAAAAACAAATTTGCAACAAAAACATAGTTTATTATACATTTTGTCTACAAAACTAGACTATACTTCCGTGAAGATCATTTTCATGTATGACTTATCTTTAACTACCGTTTATACCTACAAAACAAAACATCATGAGGTCATAGGTATTGCAAGTCAAATTTTGTAATAGATTACGTTATCTTAGATATTATAACTAAAGATTGCCAATAACTCTAATCATAGATAAGCATAACTATGTATTTTCAAAATACACACTGACCTGTTTTATTATACAAAAGTTGGTGATAGGTACTTACATTAATGTTTAACATTCCTCAACTCAGTAGAACAAAAATTAGGATTGCATGAAAAAATTTTTGCCGCCTTCAACGTATTTATCCTTGGTAGATTAGTACTTTCTGCTTATACTAATCCGTCTTCAATGATGCGTTTTCAATAAAATTCGGGATAAAACTAAACAATCGTAATGATAACTTGAAAAATTTCGAAATAACACACATCACATTAGCTAATTTGATTTATCCAGTGACATTACGATGGAATCTAATATGGCGGATAGCGTTTTGGAGATTTGGGGTACAGATAAAAAAATATCCTTAAAATTGAATTATAAAATTTATAATGCAGTTTTATATATAGAAATCAATATAATATGTCGTTTACTTTTTACAAAACCTATCATAAATAAATATATTTTCTTTTTTTTACATGGTGTAAATACCCTATTAATAAAAATATATCCAAACCCAAACATACCACTGAAATGCTTCAAGAATGCTATGCTATGCTGTTCTGTATAAATGGATCAAAAATGAATATTCAAAAGTCTGACATCCGAACACCTCAGTTCTCCTTGGCCATGGGTGCTGTAGAGCACCCGAAACGTAGAGAATTTAAAAATAAGTAAAATTATTCCATATTAAACGCGATAAATGATTAGATATACCAATATAAATTTTATTTTGTGATAACCATACGACTATATACTTGATAACATACCAACGATTAAAAACCATAATATCAAATAATATGCAGAAAGAAGTTATATCAATTTGAAACGTACCTATAAACTCCGCGATATCCTTCCTCCATCCAAACTGTGTGCAAGGTCTGCCAGAATTTGCGATATTTATCTCCCTCCTCTCTCAGTCGCGTCCTTGCTACTTCTGTAATAATTGTTTTTCTGTGTTTATTAATTATTTAATCATGGCATCCTGATATCTCAGAATGTTGTCACTCTTTGTTACTGTTGGCAGGCTATAATTCGGTTCTAAATGAAAGAAATGACGATAAGATAACCTCGATACTATTCTTCTAAATGAACATAGCTTGCATATATGAATTCAAAATATATTTTAGGAATATTACAAGATGCATTATTTATTTCGAGTATGTGTGTATATCTATGCACATCTTATGTCTACGTTCTACGTCTAAGAGAAAATACTTTAGTGGGGGTAGTTTAAAAGTGAAATTAGACTTATAGAAAGCCATTATGCCTTCCTTAATAACAGCTTCCATGATCTTACTTCTTTTTATAGCATAAGGTTGACAAACGAGCACACAGCCTACCTGATGGTAAGTGGATGCTGTGGTCCATAGACAACTACATTTATTCACGATTAACAATCAAAATGCAGATGTGTTGTCACCCCTGAGGAATAAGATAGACAGTAAAAAGTTACCAGTTTCCAGTAAAAAGTCTCCGGTTCTCTACACTCACCATACGAAACCCAGCAGTATTGAGCTGCTATTTTACGCTGGTATTCTGTGAGAGCGTGGTTCCATCCCTGTCGAACCGACCCATTTGTGCCACAACTAATATAGCTGCAGCGTGGCTCTACCACGAAAACTTACTTAAATATTAAAGCTGCCAAATGTTATCTAACTTTTTGTATTTTTTTCTCTTGTTTTGGTGTGTGCAATAAATGATTATTTATCTATCCTACTTACCGTGTGGATAAGCAATGCAAGAAGCGACCGTCTTCGAGAAAGCGCCGGCGCCCATGAATTCAAGGAAATCCCTAGGCGAGCGCTGATCGTTTGGCACTCCGTCTAGACTTCTGGCTGCGATCAGCCTCGCTTTCACACCTTCATATAACACGAAGTGGACCACTGTCTCACTAATACCCATGTACGAAGCTGTTATGCCTTTATAGAAACCTCTTATACCCTGTAAATGAAAGGTTTACCATTACTTTAAGTTACAGCCTATATACGTCCCACTGCTGGGCACAGGCCTCCTCTCATTTCTGAGAGGGTTTTAGGGCAATAGTCCGCCGCGCTGCCCCAATGCGTATTGGCGAACTTCACATGTCTTCGAAATATTTTTTTTTCTTATTTCTCCGACATTCAAGTTTCCTCACGATGTTTTACTTCACCGCCGAGCACGTGGTAAATCAGCACTTGCAATTAACAATTTCATTGGTGCCGGCGGGGATCGAAGCGGTTTGCTCGCGTATTGTGAGATACAGCGAGCGCTAACCATCTGAGCTACCACGGCTCTTATTACCATTACTTAAACATATTATATTCCACACTATTGTTTAAAAAAATAGTCCCGCTGAGTTTCTTGCTAGTTTTCCCCAAAGCAGAGGTGTTTTTCCGAACCAGTGGTAAAAGCCAGAATGATTTTCAATAAGTATTCTTGGAATCATTTCAAATTAATCTTTTCTATTCATTTCTAAGAAGTACGGGGGCCTGCTAAGAATCTCCGGTGGAGGTTCGGCTGCCACCTACGACGACTCGACCTGGCAACATATAACGCACGCACCCTGAGGACTGATGAGAAGATACAGGAGCTGCAAGAAGAGATAGACCACATACATACCCTAAGGCAGATTGTACAGAAGACCGAAGAGTACAATCTGCCACTTTGCCTGGCATATGTAAGACTATGAGAAAGCCTTTAATTCCGTCGAAATTTGGGCGGTGCTACAGTTCCTTCAGCGGTGCCAAGTTGACTGTCGGCATATCGAAGTGCTGAAGTGTTTGTACAGTAGGACTACGATGGCTATCCGAATACAGAACCAGAGTTAGAAACCTATCCAACTGCAGAGAGGTGTAAGACAGGGTAACGTTATATCCCCGAAACTCTTCACCGCTGCGTTGGAAGACGTTTTCAAGCTAGTGGACTGGAATGGATACGGTATTAACATCAATGGCGAGTACATCACTCACCTTCGATTTGCCGACGATATAGTCCTTATGGCAGAATCGCTGGAGGACCTTAGCACTATGCTCAATGACCTCAATGGTGTCCCCCAACGGATAGGTCTTAAGATGAACATGGACAAAACAAAGATCATGTCCAATGTCCATGTCACACCTATGCCGGTAGTTGTTGGGAGCAATATGCTCGAAGTTGTTGACGAGTACGTTTACCTGGGACAAATAGTCCGACTAGGTAAGTCCAACTTCGACCGAGAGGTCAATCGACGGATTCAACTTCCGAACGCTGCGCAGCCGTTCGGGAAATTACGACACATCTTCTCGTCAGGTATACCTCAATCTCTGAAAACTAAAGTGTACCAACCAGTGCGTGTTGCCAGTGATAACTTACGGATCTGAGACGTGGTCCTTCACTGCTGGCCGTATGAGGACGCTCAAGGTCGCTCAGCGAGCTATGGAGAGGGCTATGCTCAGAGTTTCTCTGCGTGATATACTCAGAAATGAGGATAACCGCAGTAAAACCAGAGTGACCGACATAGCGCAACGGATTAGTAAGCTGAAGTGGCAATGGGCTGGACATATAGCTCGAAGAACCGATAACCGATGGGGAAGAAAGGTTCTCGAGTGGCAGCCTGGTACCGGTAAGCTTAGTGTAGAGCGACCTCCCACTAGATGGAGTGACGACCTGGTAAGACATGCAAGAAGTCGGTGGATGCAGGTGGCTCAAGACCGTGCTTTGTGGCATTACTTGGGGGAGGCCTATGTTCAGCAGTGGACTTATGAAGGGCTGTAATGATGATGATGATGATTCCATTCTTAAAAATATACACAAACTTTTATAAAAATCGTCATCAGCCCATAAATGAGCACTGCTTGACAAGGGCCTTTCTGCTTGACAAGAAGATTTGGCTTTAACGTCACACTGGTCAAATGAATTGACCAACGCAGTAATTAACGTTTCGCACCTTTGTGCTTCTCCTCATCGTTGGACTGGGTATTTTACGCCGGGCGTAAACCAGATGGTTATATCGCCACTATCGGAAGCCGTAAGGTCTTCCTGGCATGCCGTGAGGTTGCGGTGTTAGGTAATCCATCCATTCACAAAGAGGCGACTAAGGGGTATGCCAGATAGACCTTATAACTATCGACTCAGATAAATCATGTGATGAGAAAGATGTCGACACGATCGGATCACGAATCGGTTTACCCAGCGTGGTGCGGTGTATGGCCACACTTCCAGAAAATGCATGTAATAAACAGGCGCATTTTTTGTCAAAGTCAAAATGTTTTTTTTAAACTGACCTTAATAAAGTACTTTTTGAAAGTCTAAAAAGCTACGTTATCGCTGCAAAAGGTTTGACTCTTTTCATTCTAACAGTTTCAATTTAGTTTAAAAACATGTATATACATAAAAGTAAACAAAAGCTAATATCTTTTAAGATTATTAACTTTTAAATAATCATCTAATTTATAATAACTCCTTTTCAATTAAATACTTTTTGCACGGGCCATGATGTATGCCAGGGCAACTCGGTATAGGTGGAAAAGCCGCATGTCTAACAATGAAGCTAGAACCACGGTAATATTATCTATACAGTATTGTAACTCGGTCGTATCTTTGAAATAAATGCCTACAGCAGCGCGGTACGTAAACATGCAATAGGGCTGCCTGCCTTCAGCATTACATTTGCCTACTTTGTGTTTCCATTTAGTTTTATGATGTAAATATACTTTTTTATATAATCAAATATAATAGGTACTTTGAAAATTCAATAGGAAGTGTTCAATAAAAATGCGTATCGTTTTTTGATTGGTAGATTTAATTAAAAAACTATGTTTATGTTTGAATAACAAATCGGTCTTATGAAATTGCGACCGAAAAATATTTGCGCCTCGGCTGAGACGTACGAATTACAATATAATAATAATCCTCATTATAATATAAAGCTTAATTAAAAATAATTTTGGGAAACATGGACAAGGTGGAGAAAAATAATATCTTTTACTTGGATAAAGAGGTATCTGTAACCAAGTAAAAGATATAAAAAATGGAGGAAATAAATAATAGAATAGAAATAAAGAAATAATAAATGCGAACTTCATTTAAAACCAAACGTATAAATTATAAGTTTGGTTATAATTTATATGTTTGGTTTTAAATGAAGTTCGCATTTATTATTTCTTTATTTTTATTCTATTATTTATTTCCTCCATTTTTATATATATTCCACAAAATCATCACTGCGGCAGTCACGACTGTCTGCATGCCGAGCGCATGCCAAGATCGAGGCGCGTAGGCATAGCTCTCGCTTCGTCCGTTTGTATGAAGTTGGAATACTGTATAGATAAAATTACCGTGCTAGAACGGTTGATGATGATGAAATACCAAATCACGCATAACTATGCGTGATTTGGAATGTAAAGTTAAATATTTCTCGTTTCTTTTAATAATTTTATTATACTGTTTTGCATTATATAAATAAAAATAGTAAAGTTAAATTATTGATCGATGATGAATAATCAAATTTCAAACTGTGGTATGCCTTGTAAACAAAACGCACGCATTATTATTTTAACAACGATTTGCCCAGTGGGTGGAAGAAAATGAAAGCGTGAGTGCGACTCGTTGACGCTGTTTTCATAAAGAAACTTATAGTAATTTTTCGTAATGTTACCAAAATACTAGTTTTTAAAAAAAATCATGATCATGATAACATCGACACATGCAAGGAAAAAGATCGTAACTGATTTTTATCAACTTTACAGGAGAGCGCGTCAAAGATTAAAAAAATTCTTATATAGTTCTGTTAAGTCCTAGTGCCATCTCACCGTGAAAATTTAAGTTAGCAAAGGAAAATCTACACTTTCATATCATTAATATGTTATTAATATATGTATTCTATTATTTTTCATGAGTTACAATGACATTACATGACATAAACTTTATAAAATGACATTGTAACTGAGACATACAATTCAATTTTGTGTGTTAATATTTACTTCATTAAGTGAAAAACAATGTAAGTCTGAGATACAATGCCAAACATGTATTTTTATGTGTTTTTGAGTTAATGTAAGAATAAAACATTGTGAAATAATTACGAAAATCTTTATTAATTTTAACTATAAAAATCTCAAAATGCAAGGAATAAATCATGTTGACACACCAAAACAAAGAGTCTTTCATAGTTAAGAAAATATAATAATAAAAAATGTCGTTTTGCCAATTTTTTAATTTTCTTTTGAAATCTGTTTAAGGTACCGATCCAATCAACTTTAAGATAAGCAATACAGAAATTCTGAAAATCACAATTAATAACAAACTTTAAAATATTTAAAGAAACAAAAATTACAAATTTAAGCAAGAGAAAGTATTACAATTATTACTCTATAAACAATTACAAGTCTTTGCAATCTCTAACCAACTATCTAAAATCAGTTTATCTATTAATAAAATAAATTCAAAAATATCTAGAAAGAACCATTTGAAATTTAAGAAAAAATAATTATTAAAAAAGAAATGTCATTGATTATGTACATCAAAGACTTTTCTTTTTTAAATTTTAAATGTTTGTTTCTGTAAGATACTTTAAAATGTTTAGTATGCATACAATATAGTAATTATATTGTATGCATACTAAACATTCGATTATATATAACTCACTAAAATATACATAATAGTTTTAAAATACAATACTTCTTAATCAGAATCAGTGATATTATTTGGTAGAATCGTTTTCACATGAGGTAAATTTATAAAATAATCATGATATATTGTTGGAATGGCATTGCTATTACATAAGCTTATTAAATCTTTGTACTTTGCTGTAGATAAAGGCAAAGGTGCATTAAAAGCCTTTGAAATCGGTAGCTCTTGTTCACTGTTTTGAGGTTCCTTGGTAGCACGACGAGTAACTGCCTGAAGAGAAACTGTCTTAATATCTTGAGCTAGATTTATAGCCATTTCATTGTCGCTCAGATAATCATATTGAAATTTATTAT